TTTTTTTTTTTTTTTTATTAAATAAGCTTGAAAACAAGATGAACACACTAGGTTCTTTAGAATGTATTGGATAGCCCCCTTTGTAATGAGCATTTAAAAAACTGCCCCCTCAAGATCGGAAAATGCGTTCTTTCCCATATGGAAAGCAATATAGTAGTGAAATATTCCTCCTTAATTTTGGTCCGAACGAACAAAAGTGTCTGTGTTTATTCCTGCCTAATGCATCACAAATCTGCTGACATGCTAACCTTGGAGTCTTGGCTGGCGTTAATCAGGCCTGTGCACCGGCAGGAAAGATGTACCTAATGCACTCCATCAGTGCAGTTTGCATATGGAAGTTCTCACAGGGGAGCTGCCCTGTGCCAGCTGAGGGTTACCTGCCCACTGCAGTTATTGTATGTAATTATCGAACCAATCTGTTCAGCCCAGCAGGGTTTAGATGGTAATCATGAAGCAACACTTTGGAAAAGAAAGATGTAAGGCACTCTCCCCTTCTCTCATCAGTTACATGAAGTTACAGCCACTCTCACAGCTATTTTTGAGAGGCAGTACCTCCCTATACAGATCTGCTAAATGAACGCCTTTTCAAGTTTCTTAAGGTGCCGTCAAGTTCTTTTTGTGCACGTGAAGCGTTTGCTTTAGGAACGTGGTGGGTATATGTGAGTCCCGATCTTTCCACGGCCGCCTTAAGAATATTTTGAGACAGTGGGATTGTTCGTAATACGTGCGTAATAACAGTTCTGACCATTCGGGGGTTTTAAGATAATGTAGTTTGAGTCGAGTCGAGCTTTTCCCGTGTCGTTCTCTGTGGAACGGAACCCGCGGTTGCCATCAGGCGAGAGAGCAGAGTGCAGAATGGCCTGCGGCAAGGGAAATGCTCAGGTGAAGTTTAACTTCACGTGAATTGTTACAAAAGACAAGCCAGGACGTTCCGACGCGTTGTGAATCTGAAATCGGGGACAAATGAGAGGATTTCCTAAATGAAATCCAGGCAACCGAGGGAAGCTTTGAGTAGTCATTTGGATTTTAACACATTTAAACTGGGATAAAGGTACACGAGAAATACAAAGTTGTAAAGTTATTACTAAGGTCTTCCATTTGTAGACGTGTTGAGTAATTTAAAAACTTCACACAGGACTGAACTAGTTAGAAAAGTGATCGAAAATAATAAAAAGAAATTGAATGAACACTTGGGAAGACGGGCCGGTGGCAGAATACGAGCCTTAACTTTTAAGTAACCCTCAACTAGAAAAATAAATAGAAAGTTGGAAAGGCCCGAGGGAAGGGTAGAAAAGCCAACCTGCTTTTGAGGTTTTAGGAGAGCCGTGTACTTCCTCTTCAGACTCCTCCTTTACAGGTAGGTTTATGCCCTCCTAACCTTTTAATAAAAAGTGTGCCAAAAGAATACATTTACTGGAAGTTTGTCATTAAAGTAGACTTTTACCACCGATTTGTAGGATATAACCAGTGATCCATACTATATGGACAAGGTGTGGGTTTTCCCGCTGATCAGGTAGAGAGATTACCCCCTGCTCCCCCACCGCAGACACAACACACACTGTGAAACGGGGAGAATAAGTATCGTTGGCCCGAGTGGTGATACCCGTTTTGTTAAACGCTTTGCTTTAGGAGAGAGTTTCTGTATAATCGATCCCGATGGTGGGGCTTTCAGTGGTAAATGATTCTGAAGAAGCATAAAAAATTAGAGGTGGCGGTAACAAATCAGCTCACATTTAGACTAAGTGTATCCTTGAAGATTGTCTTCATCCCACTGGCTGCCATCCCCAGCCCCTTCCCTTAGGGGCGGCCACCACCTTGACATTGTGAACGGTCTTCTGCTTGTTTTGATACGCCCACACCTGGATAGATTCGCATATATGGTGGTTTTATGGTAGGTTCGTGTGTTTACTTCTTTGACCGTCAGACCACATCTCTCTTTCTCTCTCTCTCTCTTAAAAAATCTTTACACGTAAGAAGCGAAAGAAAGGAATCGAGAGCACAGAATCCAGTGTTGAAGATATGGAATGCTCAGATACACAGACAGAAGAGGCCACACAAACCCGTAAGTTGAACAGTCTTGCCTGTTAGCTTTCTCCTTATGTAAACACAGATTTCATTTCCTTCCACTCAATAAGAGGTTCACTTACGGTCGTAACATTTTGGTTGTCTAATAAAATACTGTGCAAGAAGAGCTCGTGTTTGTAGAGTGTGGTCACAGTGTCCTCTGTACATACACCGTATTATTTGCTGTCCATCGTGATCATGAAGTTGGGGCGGGAGGTGCTCTCATTTTGCATCTAGGGAGCCCACGACACGGAGCATTCAAGTGCCGGAGCCAGAACTCTCTCTTCCATTTCCGCACATTGATCTGCGGAACGGGGTGAGCGGACTGTCCGGACCGGGCGAGGAGTTCCTGGGCTTACTGCAGCTGCCAAGCCCCACTTGCCTGAGCCGCCCGAGTGCTCCCAGCAAAGTGTGCCAACTCCTCGTTTCTCTGGACAAGTTGGGACGCAAGGAGTTAGAGCCTCGGGTCGTCACCTTTCAAAGCTCTTGAAGCAAAAAGCAAAGTCTGCAATCATTTCCGAGGGGGCTTGTAGGCTGGTGCCGAAGGCTCCCGCAGTGCGGGGCGGTGCCAGCGCTGGCGTTAGGAAGGTGGCGCCTGCGAAGGGCGCAGCGAGGGTGGGCTGCGGTGCAGTCGGCTTCAAAAACGGCGCACCTGTGGGTGGCTCAGGAAAAGGGCACCTGGTCCAGGTTTCACAAGAGGGGATTTGTTGGACTCGGTGAAGAAATTCAGAGCTGGAGTGGTACCATTTTTTTCTTTTTCCAGACTTCTATCTCTCTGCCTTTTGTTGGTCCTGAAACAACGTTTCTGGATTTCTAATAAAGGCTTTTTTTTTTTTTTT